GCAAATTTGGGAGAAGAAACACATACTTTAATCCAGTTTCTCCATTTCTGTCCAAAGTTCATCTTCTCCAAAACAAGATCCAAGCATTTCCAGTTGACATGGTCGTAAGACTTCTCCAAATCCAATTTGCAAACCAGTCTTGATTTACCTTCCCTTTTCCTTGAGTCTATCAACTCATTTGCCACCAGTACGCTGTCTAGCATTTGTCTACCCGGCACAAACGCAAACTGATTTTTTCAATCACAGTACTCAGAACTGTTTTCAATATTTCTGCTAGGACCTTTGCCAGAATTTTATAAAAGCTATTCAGCAAACTGATAGGTCCAAAATCTTTGATGTTAGTGGTCCCTTCCACTTTAGGAATTAAGGAAATGAAAGTGGAATTTAGATTTCTTTCCAGGGCTGCAGTTTGGTGGAAATCTTGAAACACTTTCATCAAATCCTCTTTCACCACCTCCCAGCATTTCTTATAAAAGAGACTAGTAAGACCATCCGGCCCTGGGGATTTATCAACTTCCATATTCTTAATCACTTGCCATATTTCAACCTCTGAGAAGGGGCCTTCCAAGTCTCTATGCTGGGACTCAGAAATCCTCCTAAAAGCAAGATCAACCGGGAATGGCATTCTAGCCCAACTTTCCTTAAACAAAACTGAGAAATATTTGTTGGCAACATTTTTCATCTCAGCCCCATTCTCTCCCACCTGGTCCTCAAATTCCAATCTCTCGAGCTGATTGAATCTATTTCTTGCACTTGCCATCTTATGGAAAAAACTAGAATTCATGTCCCCTTCTTTGAGCCATTTAACCTTGGCCCTTTGCCTCCACTTTAATTCATCCTTAAAAGCCAGATTGTCAATGGTCAATTGTTCTTCCAATCTACTCTTCCTTTCTTCCAACCTCCAAGATTTCAGGGTCTCCTTAACTGATTTGATCTTTTTTGCAAATTTGAAAGGACTCGTACCTTCTAGCTAGAGATCATTCCATTTAGAACTCAAAAGGGGAACCAACTCTTCCTCTTCAAACCACACATTTTCCATCTTGAAAGGGGCTTTTTAGGACCTTGTTTACCACACACCAACTGAATAGGAGTATGATCCGAAACTGGTCTTGGGAGAGCCACTTGTTTTGAGAGGTTAAAAGCATTCTCCCATCCCGGAGATATAAGAAACCTATCTAACTTAACCAACGCCAGGGACTCTTGGTTATGTGGATGATATCATCATTACAGGAAGTTGGAACTCAGAGATACAAAAATTGAAACAATTCCTTGCATCTAAATTTGAAGTGAAAGATCTAGGTCCCCTGAAGTATTTCCTTGGAATTGAAGTTGCCCGCTCAGAAAAGGGTATCTTTATCTCTCAAAGGAAATACACCCTTGATCTATTACAGGATACAGGCAAATTAGATGCAAGGCCGGCAGATACTCCCATGGATGTTGACCACAAGTTAAGTGACTATGTTGGTGAACCTCTGAAAGAGGTGAAACAGTTCCAAAGGTTAGTGAGAAAGCTGATTTATTTGTCCATGACCCGTCTAGACATTGCCTATTCCGTTGGGGTCCTAAGCTAGTTAATGCACTCTCCTAAGAAACCACACATGGAGGCAGCAGAGAGAGTTCTTAAATACTTGAAGAAATATCCCGAAACAGGTCTACTATTCAGTAAACACAATCACCTAAAGGTGGAAGTCTTTACAGATGTTGATTGGGCAGGAGCTGTGGATGACAGAAAGTCCACAAGTGGGTATTGCACATTTGTGGGAGGAAATCTAGTAACTCGGAAGAGCAAAAAACAAAGTGTGGTAGCAAGGTCAAGCGCTGAAGCTGAATAT